GAGTAGACGTCCTGTAAACTGCCTCTACTAGCTTGTGCATTCGAGAAACTTAATAATGTGAAAGGCCAGCGGTTTGATCCGACGGTGGGGATGCAGGTTCGAAACCTTACAAGAGAACACATTTATCGTTATTAAATCTCTCGAATACGCAGGCCACTAGATGTTATTCAAACGCTTTATAAAATAAAGAGTCTACTAAAACACGTGTATCCACTAAAATATCGTTTTTAACGTCTCTCTCTCTCTCTCTCTCTCCATTCTCTGCCTCTTTCTTTGTACTTATATATATATATATATATTTATGTTGAAACAAAATGGTTATTTTATAATGATTTTATAATATATTTATGTTATAATTTTCAATAAATTTTATATATATATATATATATATATATATATATATATATATATATATAGAATATTAATTTTTTAAAACGAAAATAAAACAAGGTACACGGTTGAAAATTTTTTTTAATTTTTCTTGTTTTCTGACAAGAGCTTTCTTTTTCTGGACAAAGAGTGTGTAAGAACTGTCCGAATGATTCTGTATTTCATAGCGCTTTCCTATAAAATTTTTTGACATTATCAAGGATGATTCAATTATCAATATTAGTAGATGTGTGTGTTCTGTGTATGTTCTTACACACTCTTTGTCCAAAAAAGAAAGCTGAATGTCAGAACACAAGAAAAATTTAAAACATAAAAAGCTTCAACCGTAGTACCTTGTCTGTCGTTTTTAATGAAACATGCATAAAGGAAAAATTATATAAATAAATATATAAATATATATATATATATATATATATATGTATAGATTGGTATTTAAAATATGAATAAATTCCAATAACCAACAAATACTATTCTTAAAAGAGGGCTCAATACAGAGTAGAGAAAATATAACTATTTATTCTTATTATCATCACTTTATAAGACACCGCAAGTGTTGAAACAAAATGGCTATTTTGTAATGATTTTATAACATATTTATGTTATAATTTTCCAATAAATAATTATATATATATATATATATATGTCTGATTAAATAAATTGCAAACATTATGTCTGCTTATTTTTAGCATAATCCGTTCATAGAATCAGTTACGTATACTGCAATAATATTCTAAAATGCCTATAATAAGAAAAGATTTAATGCGCGCTTCATCATGACATTCCAACATAAAAGAGAAGATTCCATATTAGATAATGTGTGATGTCATCAGCTGCGCTGCGATTTTCGATACCAGCGTCTCGTATGCACGAGTTTGTCTTTTCTTGGAAATCTTCCATGCAAACAAAAACAGACTATCATTATTGTTTTGTCCGTGTATTGGTTAATATATTGTAATGTAATTGTCATCTTTGATAATGGCTTATGTAAGCCGAAAGCTTAGATAGGATTAAAAAATATGTATCAATATTGTGATTTTCTTTCATCTTTTAATGATAATGTTATTAAACTTATCAGACAATATGAAAAGAATTTACATAAAATAAATAGACAAAACTTGTATATATTATTTAATGAAGCATGCATCAATGAAAAAATGCTGCCTAAATACACACAAATTAAATTACATGAATATAGCAAATATAACCAAACGATCAACACTTGGAATTATAAAATGTAGACCTTGATGAAAAGGCAAATTGAAATAGCCAAATATATTGTAATATAATTGTCATCTCTGATAATGGCTTATGTAAGCCTAAAGCTTAGATAGGATTAAAAAATATTTATCAATATGGTGTTTTTCTTTCATCTTTTAATGATAATGTTATTAAGCTTATATATATATATATGTGTGTATTTTTATTTATTAAAGACATTTTTATGTTTAACGTTCTTTTTATAGATACAAGTATTTAAGTAAATGCTCTGTTTATAATAAACAGTATTAAATAACATTTACCGGTCTGAATGTCCGAGAAATTGTCATAGAAAATATTCGTCCTTTGACAGGATTCGAACGTGTGTGTGTGTGTGTGTGTGTGTGTGTGTGTGTGTGTGTGTGTGTAGAGAAAATAGATAGATATCAAAAGCTGACTGTGACATGGAACATTAGAAGAATGGAGGCACCTAGTGAGAACGGAACTCATTTAAGTTCTAATCGCTTTTAGGCCCCTTTGCCCGCAATCAATTTTTTCTTTTACTGGCGTGTCAGTGAAGAATAATATCGTGAAGATGAATCTAACACTGAATAATATCGCTATAAATCAGTTTGTGGATAACAAGATGAAGACAATGAACTAATTTTAAATAGGTGGACGTTCAGAAATTACCACCATTTGACACTTAACACGTATTGCAGCATTTTGTGGAGGACAAAATAAAAACAATGAGCGAATTTCAAAAGCGGGGATAGTAGGTAATTGGCGCCATTTGACAGACCAGTCGGGGACAAAATGAAGACTGTGTGAATTTTAAAAAGTGGTCATTATATAACGACTGACATTAAAAAGGAGAATAACCAATGTGTTAATGTGTTTCTCTGTCTGACATATTTCGATTGGCTAATTAATCATGACGCTATGTTAAGGCACCCAATTCAGATCTGCAACTGAACATGTAATCTCAGAAAACCTAACAGTATCAACAAAGTTGATACGAGCATTGTAGACTGTGAAACCGAGTGAGGAATGAACTCACTTCTCATATAACAACTGGGAAGAGTGATTTGCTAACCACGTTATTCGTCCCGCCTGAGAAATAACTTCGTTTAATCACAAAAAACATTTTTAAATGAATATTTTTTTGATGCCAGTCTAAATTGACGCTTGTTTTTGTTTTTTTTTTTACATACACCGTGTGCGATGGGTAAATTGTCGGCATTTTATAGTGTTAATTTCGCGCATGCGCGTTGTCTCATTTTGATTTTATCGACTGCTCAGTATAGTAAGGTCAGTTGGGCACCATCTGTGAGAAAAAGAGAACCCATGACGGAATTCATTCCAACAGAAATTTGGAAATAGCATATTGTACAGCTTGGCATTCGCACCGGAAGATCCAATACGAAAGTTTCAGAGTGCTTGGGTATCAATCTGAGGACAGTGATGAGAGTTGGATGAGTCTAATGGTGATTACGAAGCTATGGCAGCTCGGAAAACTCACTCTAATCGTTCTGATAAGAAAAGAACTCCTAAATTTGTTGTTGAGGGCCTCAGCCTCAACACGGAGGACTATATCAAGTACCTTGAGGAGTTAGTGCTGGTCTGGGTCAAGTGTGTGGTTGCTGGAAGACCCTATATCTGGAAACAGGACTCTGCACCATGCTACACAAGCAGGAGAACCCAGTCATAGCTGTAAGACAATTTCTGCTACCACATCATCCCCTTATATCGTGTCACCTAACTCCCAAACTACACCCCCTTGATTATCATGTGTGGAGCACAGTTGAGCTAAAGACCAGCAAAACTCCTTGTAAAACCAAAGATGAACTAAAAGTCAAGGATTATGGCAGCATTCACCAATTTACAAGGAGACGTCTAAAAGAGTTGCAGGAAATTCCGATGTCGTCTATAGGACGTCGTTGAAGCCAATGGCAATTTACTCTTTAGTATTACAAGATTTTTTTTTTGCGTAATTTTGGTAAATATATTTTTTGAAATGAAATTTCAGTTTTATTTTCATTTTTGTGTCATTTAGACGACAATTTATCCATCGCACGTCGTATTGCGATCATTTTGTTTAAAACTTCATATTAAAAAAAAAAAAACAGATGGAGACAGATTTTTTCAACATATTTCAATAAAATTTGAACTTTCAAAATTATAGCTTATAGTTTATGCAGAATACAAATCGATTTGTCTTTGCTACGGTTAGAAGTCCTCATGTCTATTAATGAACATGTAAAAAGAGAGACATTATACAGTGTCCGACAGAAATACCTCCCACACAATGGTAAGATATTAGCTAGATGAAGACACCATTACCACTGATGTCTTACCATTATATGGGAGGTATTTCTGCCGCACGTTGTATAATTAGCCATTTGGCACTGAACTAAAAAATAACTACAGAGATAATGTTTCTGCACTGAACACATTCTGCTTATTAATGATTGCATTGTGGTAAGGCACCCAATACATGTTTACTACTGAACATGTAAATACCCAAAATACTTATCAGTATCTACAGACCAGATACCAGTGTGATAGACTGTAACAATCATAAGGGGCACCTAGTGAGGATCGAACTCACATCACCAATAATAACCAGTGGACTAATTTGCTATGACATTGTTATTCATTCCAGTTGAGAAATAACTTAGTTTTAAGAAAACGAAGAATCAAAAAAAAAAAAAACCATTGTCCTCCTGGTGTCAATTTAAACTGACATCGTTTCTATATATTAAGATCATGTTGCTTAAAAGCTTCTATTTTTAAATAATCAACTAATATTTTCCCTGTCATATTAAACTGACACCTTCTTTTCTTTCCATATATTGTGATCATTTTATTTAAAACTTGAATATTTTAAAAAATTTCAGATGAAGACTTGGATTATTTCCAACATATTTCAATGATATTTTAACTTTCAAAATAATAGTTTATAATCGTAGTTTAAATATATGGAAAAAAAGAAGGTGTCAATCTAAACTGACGTCAGGTGGATTTGGATGAGACAAATAAAAACCAGTAAGACATGGGTATTGTTAAAGAAATATATTTTATTATATATGAAAATAAAACCTATGCATTGTAGCGGTCAGACATTGATTTGTCCAAAATACAAAATAAATTGGTTTACAAATGTCCGCATTTCTCTTGAAATCAATTATACGAAGAACCAGACCCATGTGAAAAGCGTGAAGCACGACCATTGTTGAAAGTGGTATGGTGCCAAGAATTACCATCCTCTTTTTTGTTACTGCTATCTCTGTCAGAATGCGAAACGTGTCTGTTACCAAACGAAGCAGCCTTCCAAGAATTACGGTACGCTCCGTTGCCGCTATCACCAAAAGAGGAAGTTGTGCTGGAGTCCTTGTCGTAACTTTGCTGACTCAATAATACTGGTCTTCGCTGCTGCTGCTGCTACTATCGTCACTTTCTCCATGAGCAACGGTAACTGAGCATGCGCAGTCATCGGCGTTGTAAGCAGTTCCTTTGGGGCAGGGTTGAGTTATCCAGCCCCAACCCTCAATAAACTGCGCGTATGAGCTTTTATCGTGGGTTGCTTTTCGGGTGCAGGGAACGGCTTGTTTATGATAGCTAGCAGTATTCCAAGAACTGTCACCTTTTACGCTGCTACTGTCGCCATAACCTGCTGAAAATCTGGGGCCTTTTTCGAAACTCTTCTGACTCCAAGAATGACTATCCTCCTCGCTACTGCTGCTGCTGTCATCACTACTTCCATGAGCAACACTAATTGAGCATGCACAATCGTCAGCACTGTAAGCTGTTCCATCGGGACAGGGTTGAGTTATCCAGCCTCTACCCTCAATAAACTGCGCGTATGAGCTTTTATCGTGGGTTGCTTTTCGGGTGCAGGGAACGGCTTGTTTATGATAGCTAGCAGTATTCCAAGAACTGTCACCTTTTACGCTGCTACTGTCGCCATAACCTGCTGAAACTCTGGAGCCTTTTTCGAACCTTTGCTGACTCCAAGAATGACTATCCTCCTCGCTACTGCTGCTGCTGTCATCACTACTTCCATGAGCAACACTAACTGAGCATGCACAATGGTCAGCACTGTAAGCTGTTCCGTCGGGACAGGGTTGCCTCTTCCAGCCTTTACCTTCTATGAACTGCAACAAGATATTTTATCGTGGGTAGGTTTTTTCTCGTACAGGGAGCAGTTTCTTTAATATAGCCAGCGGTATTCCAAGAACTGTCACCTTTACGCTGCTACTGTCGCCATAACCTGCTGAAAATCTGGGGCCTTTTTCGAAACTCTTCTGACTCCAAGAATGACTATCCTCCTCGCTACTGCTACTGCTGCTGCTGTCATCACTGCTTGCATGAGCAACACTAACTGAGCATGCACAATCGTCAGCACTGTAAGCTGTTCCCTCGGGACAGGGTTGCCTCTTCCAGCCTTTACCTTCTATGAACTGCAAATAAGATATTTTATCGTGGGTAGGTTTTCTCGTACAGGGAGCAGTTTCTTTAGTATCACTAGCGGTATTCCAAGAACTTCCGTCTACTTTGATGCTACTGTCTCCGAAGCCAGATTTTGGGCTGCCGCTCTTGCCATAACTTTGCTTACCCCAAGACTGACTCTCTTCTTCATTGCTGCTACAATCTTCGCTATCTTCGGGAGTGACAGTAACTGAGCATGCGCAGTCATCGGCGTTGTAAGCTGTTCCTTCGGGGCAGGGTAGAGTATTCCAGCCTTTACCCTCGATAAACTGTAAATAAGAGCTTTTATCATGGGTTGGTCTTCGTGTACAAGGAACGGCTCCTTTACCATAGCTAGCCGTATGTATGCTCGGGCCTTTGCCATAAGTTTGCTGATACCCCAAATTACTGTCTTCCTCGCTGCTGCTGCTGCTGCTGCTGCTATCGTCATTCTCTCCGTGAGCAACATTAACAGAACATGCGCAATCGTTAGCACTGTACGCTGTTCCTTCGGGGCATGGTTGACTTGTCCAACCCTTACCTTCTATAAATTGCAAATAAGAGCTTTTATCATGTGTTGGTTTTCGTGTACAAGGAACGGCTCCTTTACCATAGCTAGCCGTATGTACGCTGTGGCCTTTGCCATAAGTTTGCTGATACCCCAAATTACTGTCTTCCTCGCTGCTGCTGCTGCTGCTATCGTCACTCTTTCCGTGAGCAACATTAACAGAGCATGCGCAATCGTTAGCACTGTACGCTGTTCCTTCGGGGCATGGTTGACTTGTCCAACCCTTACCTTCTATAAATTGCAAATAAGAGCTTTTATCATGGGCTGGTTTTCGTGTGCAAGGAAAGGCTCCTTTACGATAATTAACGGTATTCCAGAAAATGCCGTCTTGTTCGCTGCTACTCTCGCCATAACCTGCTGGTATTTTAATATCCTTTCCATGGTGACTCCAAGGATGGCCATCTTCCTCACTGCTGCTACTGTCACCATAACCGGACCGTGTATTGCTGGTCTTGCCGTAAGTCTGTTGTCCCCAAGAATGGATATCTTCCTCACTGCTGCTGCTAACATCAGTGTCTCCATGAGCAACCGTAACTGAGCATGCGCAATCATCGGCACTATATGCTGTTCCTTCAGGACAGGGTTGACTTGTCCAACCCTTACCCTCTATAAACTGCAAATAAGTGCTTTTATCATGGGTTGGTTTTTCGTTATTGCAGGAATGGCTCCTTTGCGATAATTAGCGGTATTCCAAGAACTTCCGTCTTCTTCACTGCTACTGTCGCCATCGCCTTCATGTACGCTAAGGCCTTTGCCATAAGTTTGCTGACGCCAATGATTGCTGTCTTCCTCGCTGCTGCTGCTGCTGCTGCTGCTGCTGCTATCATCATAACCGGATCGTTCGCTTTGACTCTTGCCATAAGATTGGTACTGCCAGGAATCTTCTTCGCTGCTGCTACTCTCATCGGAACGGACAGATACTGTACAACCACAGTCACCAGCATTGAAGGCAGTGCCCTTTGGACAATGTCGGGTCATCCAACCATGACCTTCGACAAATTGAAGGAAATTATTTTGGCTGCTTGTTGCTTTTAATAAACAATGTCCGTCCCATTCTTCAGATTCGGAATCATCATCTTCACAGCTGCTGTCACTTGAACCATCTTCGGATGCAGAACAACGGCAGGTACTAGCATCAAACATTGTTCCTTTTGCACAAGCTCGTCGTATCCAACCATGACCCTGGACCATCTCCATATAGAAATGGCTGTCATCTTCAGCTTCTCGGTTGCACACTTTAGCATCGGCTTTTCCCCAAATGTTCTCTTCACTACTGCTGCTGCTGTCGTCGGATAAGAAGAGAGTGCAGGAACAGTCCTCAGCACTGTAAGCTGTCCCATCAGGGCAGGATTGTCTATTCCAACCCTTACCCTCTACGAATTGCATGTAAGATCTTCTATCATGGGTTGGTTTTCGAGTGCAGGCAACAGGCGCTGTTTTACCGTTGTCCTCTTCACTGCTACTGTCGCTGTCGTCTTGGTCTTGTTGAGGTAGAGAAACGGAACAGCCGCAGTCCCTTTCACTGAACAATGTCCCCTCTGGGCATGATCGTTGCATCCAGCCATGGTTTGGAACGAGTTCTAAATAACAGCCGGGATCGTCAGCAGGTTTCAGTCTGCATTGCACCTCAGATTTCGTATCCTCACAGCTTTCATCACTGCTATCGTCATTAACTGGACGGTAGACTGCGGCAAAAGCCTGGTTGGTTAAGGCCAGGGCAAGTAGCAATGGCACAAACGTGTAACCTAGAGAAATACGCATTTTTTTTTAAATATTATTTTCTAGATCTTTAAAGCTGAGTTGATTTTGCTTTGGGATCTAAACGAGAAATGTGATGTTAGTCTCGTCTTTTCGGCTATATATATATATGTACCGAAACCTTTGGTGGGGGTGGCTATTTTGTGGTTTTCATTCTGGCCAAACTTCTTATGTATGTAATAATTGTGGGGACCAATCAAGGGTATGAATAAGTAACTTACGTAAGACATGTGAGAAAGGTAAAGAGTACGTGACTCATTAATGTACATTAAGGAACTGATGTCATTTCTTCTCCACCCGATGACACTCAACTGATATTCGCTTTTTATTCCTGACAGTTTGCCGTCGTTTGGTTTTCATTGTATTGACTCCATTGTATTGCTTGTACAAGATTCATAAATTTAAATGCTGACTTTTTAATTATCATGAGGTAATTAAAGTCCATAATGACGTTTCTATTATCTCAATGCTTAGGCTTTTTCGACAAAGGTTTTAAGCTTCTGTGAAAATGGCCTTATCTTTCTTTTAATAAATTCCATCTTTTTCTTCTCAGACAAAAATTTTCGTAATAATCTGAACATTTAGAGAAAGGTTTCGTGAAGAAACAATAATAATAATAATAATAATAATATGAAGATAATATAATTATTAATAAATTATTTTATTTAATTAATTATTAATAAACTATTTTATTTTTACTAATTATTATTTTAAGAGTAAGAGGGTATAAATATTAAAAGATTTGAAATTGACAACTTTTGATATTTCACTGAAACAGAGGTTAAGCACTTAGATCTTTCTGTCTTTTTTTCACTGAAACCAAGTAGCGTCTCTGATATGTCTTGTCTTTCCGCGCGATCAAAACGGAATAGTCCATTATTTATTAGTTATTGGCAGGGCGTAACGGTTGTGGAAAGTAACAAAGGGCAAATCACAGTTATAATGGGATAATACTATGCTAATGCTTTAAGTTAAAATATATCTGTTAAAGAGTATGATAAAATTATATACGAAATATGAAATTGTAAAAAAAAGTAGCACCTTGAAACTAATATTATCCTTATAAGAATAGGAACACTGAGCATGATTAAAACGGTACAGACAAAACATGAGCAAAATCCATTGAAGCCCCTATTTACAATGGATTCAAAAGATTGCACTGGATGGAACTGCTTATCTATTTGAAAGAATATTATTAAGGTAATAAATTTATAAACAGAGTTCATGTTAATTATCACCTAACAACAACGTCCTTGATGTCATCAGATCCAAAGTAGGTATATATGCAGATGGCACAACTATTTAATCCTGTCTTAGTAGCAAGTCCGACAGGTCCGAAAAAGTTAAAACTGGCAACTTCTCTTAAAAAGGACCTCAAATCAATAGTTAACTGGGGCGAGGAATGGTTTGTAAATGTTAACGCCTCCAAATCGAAATTGCTATCGTTTAATCACAACAGAGAACATTTTCTGTTTGACATCAGTATGGCTGCTGCTAACCTCCAGGAGGGAAACTCTTTAAGCTTTTGGGGAGGGGGCGCGTTTTCCACTGAGGTGAAGTGACGTGATTCTATTGAATCAATTGATAGGTCTACTGCTAGGAAAGTTGGTTCACTGTGTCGTGCCAGACAGTTTTTCTGACCAGAATCCATCTTGCACATTTATAAATCTACCATTCATCCGTGCATTGAATACTGGCACCATATTTGGTCTAGTTCTCCTACTCTATATCTCAAAATTCTTGACGAAATTCAAAGAACGGTCTGTAATGAAATCGATCTTGACCTGGCATCTCGACTTCAGTCACTTTCCCACAGACGCGATGTGGCTTCCCACTGTCTTTTCTTCAAATATTTTCATGGTAATTGTTCCGGTGAGCTTTCCTTCTCGGTGCATCGACTGCACTAATTTAAGCGTGTTACTAGATTGGCAGTTAGGTCTCACCGTTTTACTGTCGAACTCGCTTAATGCGACCGTCGGTTCTATTCTAATAGTGTCTTTTCTCGCACTTATCGGCTGTGGAAATCCCTTCGGGTTTCTTGCTTCCCTCCCACCTGCAATTTTCAAAAATTTAAATGCAAGACAATCGCCAAATTCTGTTTTCCTGAATCTTGTTCCTTTATTGTCCTTTTTCTTCAATACAGACTTCTCATTCTCTTTTAATCCCTTTAACCCCTTGCGTCCTAGTGGCATTATGACCTTGCTTGGGGTGAAATGATTGAAATAAAACTTATCCGAATTTGTGTCAGCGAAATGCATATATTTACTGTCTTACTTTAAACTATCTTTCGAGTAATGGCCCAAGGAACTGAATTGAACAGAAAGTCAAAGAAAATAATAATAATAATAATAGAAATCTCAAAATGTGACATATGGGAACATCAACAATCCCTGTTGTAGTTGGAGCCCTAGGACTGGTTGGAAAAGATTCCAGTTGACTAATTGAAGGAATTCCTGGAAGTCCATACCTCAAAGAGATACAAAACATTGTTCTGACAAGTACATCCCACACTTTACGAAGGGCTTTATCCATGTAATATTTTATTATTATTATTATTATTTTGTCATGACGCCATTTCTAACCTTAGGTCTCTGGGCAGGACCCGAAAAGAAATCTGTAAACGCCAGAAATCAAAGAAAATAATAATAATAATAACAATAATCTTGTATCAGGTTGCACGATATTGGCACCCACTGAGTATAAAACCCGGCATGACAGAGTGGGCCAATATCTGCACTGGAAAACTTCTACAGGAAGGAAACTTAAAGAAACTGGTATGAACATCATCCAGACCCGTTTACGGAGATAGGACCTGTTACAATTCTATGGGACTACACAATACACACTGACAGAACAATCAAAGCCAACTGCCCAGGCATTGTTATTAAAGACCACAAACAAAAAAGTGCCTCCTTATTAATATGGCAGTCCCTGCAGACTGCAATGTATCTTTGAAGATATTCAAAAAGCTGCCAAAATACAAGGACGTTGAAATAGAAATCTCAAAAATGTGGCAGATGGGAACATCAACAATCCCTGTTGTAGTTGGAGCCCTAGGATTGGTTAGAATTCTGGAAGTCCATGCCTCAAAGAAATACAAAAAAAGTTCTCACGAGTACAGCCCATACTTTACGAAGGGCTTTATCTATGTGGAAAATGTCATGATGCCATTTCTAACCTTAGGTCCCTGGGCGGGACCCGGAACGAAATGTGTACACACCAGAAATCAAAGGAAATAAAATAAATACAATAATAATTTTATGGGACTTTACAATTCGCAGACAGAACAATCAAAGCTTATCGCCCAGACATCAGAACAACCACATAAACAGAATGTGTCTTCTTATAGACATTGCAGTCCCTGCAGACTGCAATGTATCTTTGGAGATCTTCAGTACAAACTATCAACATCCAAGGATCTTGAAACAGAAATCTAAAAAATGTGGCACACGAGGACATCAGTAATTCCAGTTGTACCTGGAGCACGTGGATTGATTGGAAATGTTTCTGATAGACACATTGAAGGGATTCCTAATAGACCAATGTTTTAAAGAAATACAAAGAATTGTACTCATAACTAGAGCTCACACATTACGAAGAGCTTTCGCTATGTAAAATGCGTGTGATCTTTTGTTTTTTTACAAAAATGATCAGTGGAAAATACATGAAGCCATTTCTGACCTCAGGTCTTTGGTTAAGACCCGAAAGGAAATGTGTATACAAGAGAAATCAAAGGAAATAATAATAATAATAATAATAATAATAATAATAATGTACCAAGAAACAGCTCAAAATACCCGTTTTCGCTTTAGTGCACTCGGGATTATTTCCTGGAATCTTTCTGTCTCGCAGGACGCTGTAGGGATACCTAACACCATTGAGAATGCGCAAGTGAAAGCCGACCTTGGAACAATTCATGTACTGAGGAAATCCCTGTGTCTCTAAGCTGCAAGTAGGAGATACATCACCAGGCCAGAACATCATAGAATCGGAGAGGATCTCAAATAATAATAATAATAATAATAATAATAATAATATAATAAAGATGAAGAAGCAGGGGCAGGGGTTAATATATAATCTTAGTTTTATTGGAAAGAACAAGGGAGCGTAGCCGCCATGTTTAACTCAGCTTGCGTGATATCATTGCCAATGAATAGCAATTTCGATCCCCAGTGTTTGCTACATAACTGTTGCCTTGTGGCAGACTTAGATAAACTCAGTAAATATATGTATGTTGGGCTGGGTCTGGGTTAATTCACACATAAATTCTATTTTATGATATAAAACACTATGTGATTATATATATATATATATATATATATATATATATATGAAAAATTTCTCAGAGATAACCTGTAGTAAAAGACAATATTTATAAATGTAAAAGACAATAGGAAAACTGTAATAGTAGCCGGCGCGTTTCGTCCAATGTGGACTTTTTCAAGGCTAAAAACGAAATGAATTTATTAAACAAAGTAACTCATAATCACAACAAAATAAAATTTCCTCAGCAACTTGAAGAATGCATTTTCTTTTGATTTCTACAACCCTATCAAGCAATCAAAAGAAAATAGTTGAATCCGTCAAAACAACAATAAAAACAATATCCCCACAAGTGACAGTACTTGACGTAATTTTCAGTTGACAATATGAATATAAAATCGTTTTCTAAATTCTTCCAGTTGCTTAGAACTTTTTGTTTTGTTATTATTAGTTACTTTGTTTAATGAATTCATTTCGTCTTTTGCCTTGAGAAAGTCTGCATGGGACGAAACATGTTAGGCTATTTACAGTTTTCCTATTGTCTTTTATATATATATATATATATATATATATATATATATATATATATATATATATATATATATATATATTGACAGTGAGGTTCAGCTTTTACAAGGCCCGGAAATGGTCTCAAGGTAGAGGTGACAAAGTAAGAAGCACAGTTTATGCGGATAGTTGGGGGAACATAACGGTTAACCTGAGACTTCAATAGGTTAAGA